CAGTGATATAACAAAACAAAACAGACAAACTGATGAAAGTACCACTTCACAAGAAGCAGAGTTTCAACAGAATTACTAAGATGTTCACAAATTCAAAAAAAAGTTCTTCATTTATATATATAGAGGCAAGATGACAAATTAAAAAAGCTATTGAAACCAAACCTTCACACGATCAGCATCAGAAAGTGGTCTTGATTGGACATCCCTATTCAGAAGCTGGGTGACAAAGTCAATAACAGGTAGTGGCTCAATGAAAGCTGTGGAGGACATATCTGCACCATAAGGTAAATTAAGATATCATACTGCCTAACAAGAAATACAGCAACTACAAAGCCCAATCTACATATCAAATAAAAATCTGATGTTTACATATTTGTCCTCAGATATCAAGAAATTATATACCTGACAATGTCAGAAAGAACAGTGGAATGCAAAAATAAAACAAAGTCTTCAGGATCGGGATGGGGATCAAAATTATTCATAAAACTTCAATCAGGGTTGACCAAGCTAGTCTGAATTGGACTAAGATAGGGTCCATCAAGAAGCAGCCAACCCAAGTGGAACTTGGTAGGAACCAGCTAGAAGCACATTCCCACCCTTCTGGAGCATGTTTGATCGGATTAAAACCCAATTGAAAATAAATCCCATCACAACCAGCCAATAAATGACCAAATTTACTGGAATTGTAGGAACCAAACAGGAACAAGCCAATTATGACTCTAGCTGAGTCTTAATGATCCTCCACACATGAAACTGCAAATTACTTCTAGTTACATGATCTATGATTTAAATAATGTCTACATTTTTCCAACATGGTTCACCTACCTTCTCCACTAAAAGAAGTTCAAAAAATTAAATGGAAATTGAGAATCGGATGCTTGTACCAATATTTAAAGAGAGGCCCATCTGTGTTGGGCGAATGCTCTGATAAAAACCTCGCCAGCTTTCCAATCCCTCACCAAGTTGCTGCCTTCTCCCTAAATCAGGTGAATAAAAGGACCGACCAACAGGCAAGTATCTGCAGACCATCAATAAATAATCATATTAAATCTTTAACAATAAATGTGAATCAAACAGGTATCACGGTATTAAAACATTAATTCTTACCTGGCAGTAGGTAGTTCACGAAGCACAATATCCAGAACTTGCAATGCTTCTTGAGGAGCATCAGCCTGCCTCCCAGCCAAAAACATCTCAAGATGGTGAAGATCGACTCGGGCAGCCAACTTGATAACAATCCGAAATGTCCTCTGTCGTCTGCAAACCATAAACGTATTTTTCATGAACCATTTTATGACAAAAAAAAATCAAAATAATTGTAAAGAGGCATATCAATTGGTCAAGTAAAAGACCTTTCCATGCCTGAACCATCATCCTCATCAACTAAAGTTATCTGAAACTCTCTAGAGGTGAATGGCAACGGCCCAGCTGTATAGAGACTCTTCCGGCCATCATAGGCTGGTAGCCGCCCTCCTAGACAAGATTCTCTGTGATGTTTCACTAGTTGTTCCATCACAGCACGATTGACAACACGCGATGTAACTTCCGGTGTAATTGAAACCTTATTAATTATGTAACAACTGCAAGTTAATATCATGCCACAAGAAAGAGAAACCTGTATCTCATAGCAGTATTCAAGGGGGAACAAGGAAAACTCACATCATACTGGTGAAGGTCTTTGTCAGGAAGTTCAGCAAAAAAATGGTTAGCCTTCACTACACATTTGACACCAAAGGTACCTTTTCCAGGCCGTACTGGAAATCTCACAGACTTGCTCGAAGATGCTGGTAGAACCACAGGCTGGATTGCTTGACTGGATGAAGCTACACCTTGAACAGAGACATGTTGAAATTGTTCTGCAACCTCAGTAGTGGATATTTCCACCAGTCGTGATGAACTTGCCTGTGATGGGACTGTTTGAGTGGCTTGATATGGAGCTTGCGTTGCTTGGTGCAGCTCGGGAGCCGGTGGCCTAGATGGACCTGCAGCTGAAGGACCAACCCCACGTCCAGCAGCCATACCACGTCCACCCCGGCGTCCACCATACTGTTGCTGAGGCGGCATTCCACCTCTGGGCTGAGGCCCACCCCGACCCTGGTACTGAGATGAAGCACCTAGTTGCTGTACATCACGAGGTTGTGGTCGGCCGCCTCGCCCCTGGTAGTATCCCCCACCACCACGACCACCTTGCTGGGGCTGTTGAGGACCGGGTGGAGCCCAACCCCTCCCTGCACCACCTCCCTGCTGCTGTGCAGCACGACCCCTCTCTGATGGCCGCTGGGGCCCTGCTCGCCCACTGGCACTGCTTGTCCCATAAGATTCTGAGCTCTCCCCTGTACCAGAAGTTTCAGTTCTGCGTTTCCTCACCATGCTGTCAACTGCATAAGAATGCCAGCTCTAAACTTTGGGGAAAACAATGTTGATTCAAAAGATCAAACAACACAATAGTAGCAAAACATTTGTAACTAGAAGGCCCAATCTTATCGAGACAACCACCCCTTGCAGTAATCCAGGACTGTTACTACATGAAAGCTCAAGAATGAACAGAATGTCTACCTTAAATGCCTTCCAATACCAGAAACCTGGAGGAAACTATTTATAATAGAGGAAACACCAACATGGCAGAGAAATGAAATGCAAAAAAGGTTTCGGTAGCCTTAAGAACCAATGGATATAATAAGTGGAAGCAATAAAGCACCATATGGGGGACTGAATAGACAAGATGGAATGAAAGCAGAATCACAGAACAAACCTAGGAAGAGACAGATTTCACAGGGAACAGCAGCAGATTTTCAAGGGGTACTGAATCTAATTTGAGCACGCTTCATTCATTGAATATAACCGGTTCATTGAACCACCAGAAAAGTGCAGGGAAGGGTGTCCTTTAGTCTGGATAATACATGAAAGCTCGTTGCATGCACGATTAAAGAGACTAACAAGGTTCAAATCAATGGCTGACGAAATTTGGAAACTCAGCCGGCAGACTACATGAAATTACAAAACTTGAGGATATGATAACGGTGCCACTAGGGTCACGTAAAAAAAAAAGATTCTGTCCTCTACAACCCAAAATCTTTATAGCTCCAAAGTGCTTTATGCTTGTATAGAGAGCAATAATAAGTTAATTTAAAACAGAAATGATGCGTCAAGGTTCTAAATCATCATTAATTAACCATTAACAGTGGATGTCATCTAAACTAGTTGAGCTGTCAAATATTCTCATGCATGTGCAAGACACTCAAGGCAATTAAAGAAAAAGAGGGTAAGAAGTTGGACAACTAACAGTTGAAACAGATGCCGCATCACAGAACAAGAAAATTATCGAAAGCATCCATTTGGCCAAAACAAATATTGTGGTTATTCATTTAAAGAACAGTAAATAAAAAAACACTAAGCAACAGAAATAAATCTCAAAAGGAAACGAAAAATCGTAAAAACTGGAACAAAAAATGAGACATCGCCGTGCAAAAGCTTGCACAGACTATACCTAAATAGATATGCAAAGACCTTCGTAAACAACAGTATCAACTTAGTAAGGTTCGAAGATCTGCGTCCATCAATGGCCCAATCGCAGATCCAGAGTCTGGAGAGTCTAAATCGCATCACGTCCGTACACAAAAAAGCACTCTTCCACACTCTCTAACACTATTCAACCGCATCAAGGAGCACAACGACAGCAACTATATCACAGCACGTTTGTCCCTAGAAAACCCCGTTATTACTCGCATCCTGGAACGAATACGACAAAAGCCGAACCCTAACACTGAAGCAAGAGCTCTAAACCACGAACAAAATCGAAAGCAGCTGAAGGAAAACAAGCTGGATGCCGACGCATTTCTTAGCGGTAATCTCCACTTGACTAAAAGCACACCGTGCAGAGAGACTGGGGGCAAAAGAAGCAGAAAGAGACAGAATCGAGCCGATCTTTGCATGGATCGAAGAGGATCACCGAGGAGAAGCGAGGAAACCGCTTTACCGTGATCGGAAAACCAGGAGACGTCGGGGGAAAGCCGGTGGTCGCCCTCCGGAAGCCGCCTCGGAGACCGTCCTTCACTACACTTTCTAAAATGGAGAGAGAGAAAGCCCCCACCCGTGAATACAGCCAACTCCCCGAAGGCGTCGGGGATTTAAAAGCGGAGCGTTAGGGCGTAGCGGTAGACGACAAGGCCCGGCCCAACTCGGCCGATGCCGCAACGGCCCATGCAAGGACGTCGACGTGGCAACGAAAGGTCGAAGACAGGCTGGCCCACCACGTGATTCCCGCCACATCCGCGGCGTATGATTGGCCGCGCCGTACCGGGGGGAGGGCGGGGAGGACACCCCGATCCGCTGCGCAGCCGAGCGCAGGGACCCCCGACGTGGCGGCCTTGTCGATGGACGCGTACTGTCGGGAGAGGTGGGCCGATGCGTGTCGATCGCGGAGCGCGTCGGCTTCTGGACCGCCCGATGCGTGGCGTCGACCGAGGACGGCTGCGATGGCAGGGGGGGCTCGATGAGTGGGCCCGTCGCCGCGTGGCTCAATAGCAGGGGCGTCACCTGAGGGCACCGCGGTCAGAGGACCGAAGTCGACCCAAAATTGCAAATCATGATGTCATAAATGGAATGTGCGTGGATTAATTGGGTAAATGTCATGGGGAAGGGCACTAAGCGCGGGGGCCGAAAAGGCAAGGAAAGCTGAGTTGGTGGAGCACCATGAGCCAATCTCGTTAGCGACGACGGGTTAGGCTTATCCGCTTTCCCTCGCTCCCCCTTCCCCCCTCCCCTTGTTGATAAGATTCCCAAACATGGTGTGTCCCAACCAATGGCTCCACCTCTGTTGGACTCGGCTCCCCACGATGTTTCTTTTGATGGCGGCGGGGCCCGCCCGGGTCACGCATGTCTGGCCTTGGGGAAATATGTTCTCCCACTAACAATTGATCAACTGCTGTTGTATATTAGAGGAGTCAATCAAATCATAACTGAATACCAACTTAGCTATATAAGATTATGAGACTATGAAATGAACTTGGAACATAAACCGTACTGATTGACTATGTCAGTCTACAGCTTCTTTTACAACAAATGTGTGTTGCAAATGCACATCGTTGGTTAATATATAACATGTAAAGTTCCTTTAACAATCTCTGTAGAATAAAACAAGAGGAAAAAAGGCAAACCGTGTTTGGATTACTGTGTCTGTGCCGATGGATTGAATCAAACAAAGAATGGTTTGAAATGTTGAGACCCATGTATCTTTAGTGATGGATTTTTAAGGAAGAATCTTTGGTTGAAATCACAATTCTGCCTTCTGAATGCCCAGTTGGCTGAACAAAATGGCCATATCCATTCCCTGCATCATAGTCGGCATTGCTGTTTCATAGGGGCATTCTTTAGAGAACCCAACCTTTCCGGACTTCTTCACCTTCTTGATGCAGGTCTTGAACTTCTCATGGCATTGAACGCTCATCATACCTGAAAAGTATTTCAAACAATGGGAATCATTATCAGGAAGTTTACAGATGATTTCTGTGACACGTGTAAATGTCATTTATGCCTCATTTGGAAGAAGAAGATATAATCTTTTGCTTGTATAACTCAACTTAAATGTTCTTCCTAGATGGATGCACATCTAGAAAAGATCACAAAAACTTTAAGTGCAAAAATCTCAAGAAACTCGACGTCCAAAAGCTTAAAATTTGGTTCTCTACTTTAGTTCGAGTTTTAGAAATCAGTGGAGGCTCAGTAAAACTTCCAATATGGTCAATGGGTTTCACACGATTGCATTGAAGCAACCTCACTCTTTATATGCTCGTCTTATGGTTATTTAATCCTCCTCGCTCATTGAACCTTTCGGGAGACCTGTCTTCAACCAAGTACCTGAATTTAGGGAAAGAACCTAGAAACATGAAATTGTTAATGTCTATCTTAGGCAGTTCAGATGTGGGGTTTCTAAATCATTCCTGATATTGCTATAAGGTTCCCTACCAAGAAAATATTGCCACAAGGTTCCTCAAATATGAAATTTTTGAATGCAAATTCCTGAGTAATTATCTAGGCTAACTTGAGTTTTGTTACTCGGTCTGGGCTCCGATAGACCATATCTTGCAGCTAGACGACTTAATAGGCACCCATGTCATCTAAGAAATATCAAATTACTTATAAATGCACTCTGCGGTGCATTATTTATATGCATCAGTTTTGCATAATGGAACTATCACCAATTGGAAATTTATGGTTTCTATATTTTAGCAATGGTCTTTATAATAAACATGCATAAATTTGTTCTCATATGCTACTAATAGATCTAATGAAAGCAGCAGAAACAATAAAAATAACCTTGTTACACCTCAGATATTATCATGAAGAGGGTACATGCTATATTATGTCCTCCAAATATACCCTTTTCACATTAAACAGAAAACTCATGTGACACATGAACCCAACATACATTTCTGCACATTGTAACATAGACAAGGCTATCTATTCTGTGGTGGTCACTAACAAATAACATCAACATTATATCTTTCATTCATCAACCTCATGAATCAACAAATAACTGCTTGCCATGGCCTAAACTAGATGAATTCAAGCAGAATGCTGGGCAAGTTAACTTCTCCCACAATATGTCAGCTATAACTTCAACTGTCATCTATCTTTCATTCATCAGCCTCATGAATCAACAAATAACTGCTTACGATGGCCTAAACTAGATTAATTCAAGCAGAATGGTGGACAAACTTGCCAACTTCTCCCACAGTATGTCAGAGATGGTTTCAATTGTCATCTAAATAGACTGCACTGTAAAGGGCAAAAAAGATGCTTGATGGCCTACAGAGTAACACTATATTCCTTGTGATATCAAAAACATGCAAAGCAGGGTACAAACCAAAGGTTCAAGTATAATCTTCTGAGAACCTTTTGCGAACCTGTTATCTCATCCACAATTGAATCCACGAATGCAACAGGAAATCACTATGTACGTCCTGATTCGCTTCCATCGTACAGAGAAATAAAGAAAGAAATCTCATGCGTGATCATGTTAGATTACATCGAACTGCCAACAAGAATTACCAACCTTTTTTCTCAACGCATTCATCATGGACTTTGCAACAAGCGTCGAGCTCATCACAGGGCTTCTCTCCAGGACAACCCGTCCAACCCACACCGCAGAACTTCCCATATCGGATCCCAATGGCTGATCAATTTGCAAAAAACAAAAAACATCGGATTAGTACGCAAATACCTCAAAGACCAATTTTTTTACCACCGGGACCAGAAACCCAATCCCAGAACAAAACCGACTTACAATTGCAGTTCTCCGCGACACATCTATTACTGCAATTGACCTGCGAATAAGTCGAAGGCTGAGAAGTGGAACCAAATGGAAAAAACTAGGGTTCCGAAGTTAGGGAACTGAGACGAAGATCAAAACCTCGGCACGGGAATGAGTGGTGGCACCAGCGCGGGCGGAGGCGGAGGCAGAGAGCAGGAGGAGGAGGAGGAGGAGGCAGGCGGTGAAGGCGCGCGGGCGCTCCCGTTGACCTTGCATTCTCCGGACTCTATACCGCGAGGGAGGAACGGGTGGGTGCTGGTTCTTTTACCCAAGGTGATGGAAGCTGGTCCGAATGCCGAGGGTGAGCGTACCAGGCATGGGTTGGGAGGGAAGTATCGGATCGGATCCTTTAATCGAATTCCGAATCCGATAGTATTATTAAGTACTACCAGTTGAGGAGGATCCGTCCCAATACTTGGGATCGAATTCAAACTCTCGTATTTGCTCTTGGTGTTTTTTTTTTTGCCTTTCTCTTCTTAGTCAAATGCACACTTCTTCTTTGGTTCAAATGCTACGAATTATTAAATCTTCAATCGACATTGATATTTTAAACAATGTAGGAGGTGAATTATTTTGAGACTCGCGAACCCATCAACAACAATGTAGGAAGTGTTATTTTCTTTGTCATATTACTTCATGACCTATAAATATGTGCTCAGATCATCTCAAAATCTTATTATTCACGCTTGTGATGATAGTAAAAGAACCCCGAGGTCGAAATTCCAACAAGATCAATTAGTTATTTCTCCGTATTGGAGAGAGGAAAATGGGGAATGGCTACCCACCACCATTCATGCCCCCAACTTGATCTTATTTTGCAGCTTCAAACTCGTCGGAAGTCACAGCCACTCCATTTGGCTCATCATCTGGTCGGAATTGAGAAGAAACATCCTCAATGGTGGAGTCGAGTTGTGCAATCTTCTCCGCCAGTGCCTTTCTCGATTTCTGATAAAACCAATTGGCTGGTTGTTAGTGCACCTCAAGTAAAGCAATAGATGAAAATATTTCCATCTTTTCACTCAAGAGACATGGCTTCTTCCTTTTGAGTAAGTAGCTAATGGAAAATTAGCATAAGCAGACGTAGGAAGATACTGAGTACACATGGATATGTTGCAATGATCTTCAAAGCATAGGACTTTATCTGTATTTATTAAAGTTATAAAAGAGCTAGATTGCAAATCCACATTCAATTAACATAGAGTGACTAGATTGTGCATATAGTATCAGCAAGAAAAGCTATCATCCATCTTAGTCATATAAATGAAGGAGATAAACCAATGACTAGTTGCATTAGTCATTCATTCGAAGATGATCCCTTGAGGCACACTGATTGGAGAAGCTTTTCCACTGATGCAGTTATGTCTCACATGAGATTTGGTTTGATTACATGTATAAGGTTGCGATATAAGTAACTATGTTTAACTTTATTATTTCCCAATACCATAGGAATCTCTACATCAGCTTTAAGGATGTTTTAGAGTTGATCAATGGCCATTAAGAGATAGATAGAGAGAGAGAGAGAGAGAGAGAAAAGTTAATAGGGCCAAATCATCAAAGGATTAAAACAATCAAATTTATCCAAAAATGTTTCCACCAAGACTAATAAATGAAGAATTATGGGTGGCCATTTCCATTAAAAGGTCCTATTCTAAATCAAATTAGGAATTAGGATAGTTCGAATAGGGTGGTGTTTTGCTGGTTTGAATTGCAGGTGCATACCGAAGCTTATTGACAATTGGCTTCTATTGTTTTTCTCCATCAATTATATTTCCTTCTTCCCCTATTTTGCACTCTTCTCTTAGATCTTTAATGAATTCTACCACATATTCCTATGTCTGTCCTGTAACGAAGAATATTTATAAAAATAATCAGGGTTCTGCAACAATGGTACATTAGAAATAACAGAAATTTGAAGTACTTAGAAAGCCAAGGGGCACAGTTCAGTACATTTTAAAATGCAACAATTACACATAAAGTAGCAATAAAATAGCTAATAAAGTCCAGACCAAGTTTGTTGGAAACTAGATGGGACCTCTAAGATCATCAAGACATGATGAAACTAGGGGCATGGCATATAACACGAGTACCTATGAAATATAATTTTGAAGATGAAGGAAGACTAGATTGGGATGTGATTGCTATTCGCTGATAGCTGGATAATAAAAATATTATTCTAGCAACACATTGTTCAATTCCAGCTAATAAAAAACAAAAGCAAATCATTTGACCCATTTGCATGAGGAGGCAGCGTTCTACTGAATTACAATTGGACAACTAGGATAATGGTAATTTGCAGCAGAAGCCAATAAAAAATATCAAGCAAAAAATGATTGACAGAGAACAAAACCAAACTAGCATGATAAAGAGATAGAATTGTATGTTGTAAACTGTACTTGAATATTAATACCATAATCATAAGACATACCTCTGAAGCTTTCTCTTCATTGTAGATGAATTTTGGTAACTTCCTTATTAGATCTTTTTTGTCAGTTCCAGTTAGTGCTTTGCTGATCTGAAACAATACTGCTCATCAGAAAGGAGATAAGAACAAAATCATGAATTGAAGTTTGTTGATGTCTTCAAAAATTTGCTTAATCCTGAAATGTAGAATTTTCACCTGGGTCATCATATGTTAGTTTCTAGCAAAAGCTGGTGTAAGATTAAACTCTACTGGAGACCTAACTATTAAATACACACACATGCACATGCCCTCTCACACAACAGATAGGATGTCAAGCACTCCAGGAGTCAAGCAAAATACATTGTTCTAGGTTTTCCACTCTACTATTTACCGTGTGATGACCTACTACAGCTTCCACTGAAAGGAGAGATGTATATCGACAAACCTTTTCCACTTGAAACTATTACAAAATAAATGCTGAAAAAGGTTGCACTCATATCAGCACAAGTATTCGACAATCTCATTTTCACCCACCACATAGCAGTTAAGATAGATGCTCAGCAAATGTAAGGTTTACAGGAAACATATTAGAAAGGTAATGTAAGACACAGAAAATATATCACTCCAATACCTGAGGTGCATAAACACAAGCAAGTGTTCCAGCCATAATTCCTCCCAGCACAAAGCCTCCAATGAAGAAGACTGCATTGCCTGGGCTTCCACTCTCCCTGAATCATATTACACATCCAGGCAAAAGTACCACCATTCAGACAAACATATTTACAAATTCAAAAGGCGTCAATCTGTTCATATTTCTCTGGAACTAATCACGATTTAAAATGCATTCCAACTCATAAAAATTGGTAAACTGTTACAAGTTTCAGCATCTTAAGCATCGTTCATTTATAGAAACAAAAGTACCAGTAATTTTGTTATTATTTTTTTCCTTTTCTACTTTCAATAACACAAGTAAAAAACTAAATAGAGCAATAATGACATTTTCTAGTAGAAGAGAATGTGCGCTTCAAGCTGCACATATAAAAATAACTTATCCAATGAGAATCTTAAATCTGCATGTGATTCTACCCTCCTCAACTAAATTACTTAAGACATATATACACAACCACAAAATTCAAGTTTCATTTCCAACAATCTCCATAGCATAATTTCCTCCATAAATTGGATGTGGAATTTCATATAATGACCCAAGCAACCAGCTATATTAGTGACATGGAGTAATTTGATCCAAGATGCATAACCCTCTCCATAAGGAGAAGTCCACTCTTTCCTTTTTCTACTAATGGAGTATTCAATATTTTACATAAAGCATAAATCAAATCCTATACCACTATTAGGACCATCCTTGGGGTTCCATCTAGATCGAAGATTCAATAGGAGACACAGTAGGTCTCAGTGCAGCCTGCACCATGCAAATGATAAGTTCTTTGATGCCATTCCTCGTGATCATCTAGGAACTTATGTGAAATGGTCATTTCAACAAGACCCAAATTATTTAATCCCATGCTACCAACAGCAACCCACGAAGATCATATATACAAGCCCATTTGCCAACTTCTCTCAGAGAAAGCCATCAAGATATAAGCATTCTGTTAGGACTCTAGCTAGGAGAGTCCTAATTAAGCTTCATTGAAAGGGGCATTCATGTAAAACCTATCTAGCCGACCCCTATTAAAGAGATGAAGAGGTCGGCTAAGGTTAGGATTAGTTTGGAGGTTGCTTCTTAGAGAAGCATTAGGAGTTGGTTAGAAGTAGGAGTCTTGAGTAGGAGTCCTATTAGGAGTTGAGGTTTAGAAACCCTATAAATAGTTATGTATTCATCATCTTTTCTCAATGAATAGATCAATCCTTTTAGCAGCCTTTGAGCAGCAACCTGGAGGAAGGAACCCCTATAGAGTTCCAAGGAGGCCGATCCCCTAAAGAGATCAACCCAAGCTTAGAATCCGCAAGGGTTCTATCACTTGGGATCAGAGCAGCGTTCTTGACATCTCGCTGCGCTTCCACATCTATCCATTAGCCCTTCACAACCGCCCAAAGCAATTCCCACAATTGCTTAAAAGATCATCGCCGAATTTTGCCATCATCTCCACCACCGTGGATCATCTTTTGATCTCCCTGTGAATTGCAACAAGTTATAGTTTCCTACCTTACTGTTGTTGCAATTTAATTATCCTTATTCAAAAATCCAAAAAAAAAAATTTTGTTCCTATATTGCTACATAAACTTTTCATCGTACGTTTTCATCTCTACGATGAAAGATGCGCTGTAGAATTCCAACCGCATAACACAGTTTGTTTAATCTTGCTACTGCATTTTTTCTGTCCAAATCTCTACGGATTTTTTACAACAGCTTTGACACTTCCTAACAACGGATTTCCCTTTGGTTTCGTCAAAAAATTCTCAATATAAACCATTAATCTTTTACGTCCAATCTACTACACTTTAGACGTAAAAATCTGCTGCAACACCTTTCCGTGATCCTCAATTTTTCTGAACCTTCCACCACCCCATGCCATTAACCTGTCAACAGAAAAAAGACGGGGACATCTTTGACCTACAGGCATATGCTATGGCTTCTCAAGATCCAATTGATGCCAAATTTAAAGCATTAGAATCTTGGATTGAATCGCGGCTTGAATCGCGCTTGGAGGACAAATTGCACACTTTGTTTGCAGAATTTAAAATTGGACAACCGTCGAGTCCAACCAAATTTCAGCGAAGAGAGAGTTCAGAGAAGCCTCCAGAGAAGGAGGGATAGCCCTCAGACATTCTTCAGCCACGCACGAGGGTGGACTTCCCGCGATGGGAATAAGGAGACCCGGCGGGGTGGATTTCGCGCGTCAAACGTTACTTTCGCTGCTACCGAACGTCGGATGATGCTATGGTGGAAATTGTTATCATCCACCTTGAAGGAGATGCTATTCAGTGGTACAATTGGCTAGAATACAATTATGGGGCTCCAATGTGGAATCAATTTAAGAACACACTACTAAATTGTTTCGGACCTACAGAGTATGAAAATATCAATGGCCAACTCGCAAAGATTCGACAAACCTCTACGATTCAAGAGTACCAAACCAGGTTTGAGAAGCTATCCTACCTTGCTCATGATTGGACTGACCGTCAATTGTTAGGAACATTCATCGAAGGACTCAAGCCAGAGATAAAAAGGGAGGTTAAGGTGCGGCAGCTTCGTACCGTGATAGTTGCGATTTCTTTCGCCCGAATATAAGAAGAACGGCTCAACCAAGATGCTCGGAGGATGAGAACCTCTCCTAGGCTCGCGGCATATAAACCTCCTTCTGCTCCCAACTGTCCTTCGCTGCTAAAAAAATTGACAAGAGAAGAACTATGTGACCGATCAGCAAAGGGTCTTTGTTGGCATTGCGACGAGCCGTGGAACCGTGATCATCGCTGCAAAAAGGGCCGCCTCCTACTGATTGAACATCTTAAAGACATGGAGGAGGAGATCCAGGAGCACGAGGAAGAGGTTGTGGATGAAGAACAGTAGCTAGTTGATATTACAATGCATGCCCTTGTCGATTACGCGAACCCGCAAACGATGAAAGTGGGAGGACTTCTGAAGCAACAACCTATCACCGTTCTTATTGACACTGGGAGCACTAATAATTTTATACACAGCAAAGTTGCTGTCCGGATGGCCTTACCTATCGAGAATTGCAACAAGTTTGACGTTAAGGTCATCGACGGACGAATTTTGAAGTATGATCATAAGTGCCCATGGGTGAAACTGTTGCTGCAGGACCAAGAGATAATTGCATATTTCTTCCTCCTCCCTCTTGATGATTATAACGTCGTGCTCGGCATCGAATGACTTACGACATTAGGTGATGTTTCCTAGAATTTTGTGAAACTAATTATGAAATTTTACAGTAAGGGAAAACAGGTGATACTGCACGGGAAACGTAAGGGAGGACGTAACGACGATTTGCACACAACGAATGAAGAAGGTTTTGCACAAAGCATGCAGCGGCTTTTTGGTACAACTTGAGCAGCAAACTAAGGGAAAGCCAAGAGAATTTGAAGATCCAAACCTACTTCATTTTCTTGTTAAATTTTCAGATATATTTGACGAACCGCGCAATCTACCTCCTACCCGTCGGCATGATCATTGTATACCAATTCTTCCGAGCAAACCTCCAACAAATACTCGGTCATATCGGTATCCACATCTCCAGAAGAATGAAATAAAAAGGATTATAAAAGAGATGCTCGAAACAGGAGTTATTCGACCAAGTTGCAGCCCCTACTCTTCACCGGTGCTCCTCGTACAAAAAAAGGATGGAACATGACAAATGTGCGTTGATTACCAAGCTCTCAACGATATAACTGTCAAGGACAAATATCTTATTCCAGTAGTAGATGAATTACTTGATGAATTAAAGGGAGCACGAGTCTTCACAAAGCTGGAGCTTCGATCTGGGTATTATCAAATACGAGTGTGCGAAGAAGACATACCGAAAACCGCCTTTCGAATACACAACGGCCACTACGAATTTTTGGTAATGCCCTTTGGTCTCACCAATGCTCCCTCCACCTTCCAAGAGCCTTATGAATGATATTTTCTAAAATTATCTTCTTAAGTTTGTGCTGATTTTCTTCGACGATATCCTTATTTACAGCCCTTCTCTTGAAAGTCATTTTCAGCACTTTGACTTGTTTTGACGATTTTACGAAAATATGTTTTTTTTGTCAAAAAATCAAAGTGCATCTTTCTTCAACAGAAAGTGGAATATCTTGGGCATATCATATCAGAGGAAGGTGTGGCGGTGGACCCCTCCAAAATTGAAGAAATGCAGAACTGGCTGACCTCGAGGAACATAAAATCGCTACGCGGCTTTCTCAGTTTAACAAGCTACTACCGCAAGTTCACAAAAAACTATGGAAAGATCAATGCACCCCTTACTTCCTTGCTGAAAAAAGATGCTTTCCAATAGTCAGACAAAGCCACCACCGCCTTTGACGAACTTAAAGCCGCAATGACGACAACGCCTGTATTGGCGCTACCCAACTTCAGCAAGACTTTTGCTATTGAAGTCGATGCCTCTGAAGTCGGAATTGGTATTATACTAATGCAAGATGGCCGCCCCCTCGCTTATATATATAAGGCATTATCTCCTTCCTATCTCAAGATAACTATTTATGACAAAGCGATACTCGCGATTGTGCATGCGGTGACCAAATAGAGACCATACTTGATCGGGCAACGCTTTCAAATCAAGACCGACCATAAAAGCCTAAAATATTTCTTGAAGCAGAAGATATCTTCCCCTGAGCAGCAAAAATGAGTAACAAAGCTTCTTGGATATGATTATGAAATAACTTACAAAAAGAGAAGAGAGAATGTTGTTGCAGATGCGCTTTCGTGGCTACCCGAGCAAATAGAATTTTCGGTCGTTTCAGTTCCGACCAGCGACTTCCTTAAAGATATTAAGAGGGAATGACAGGATGATCTGGAGACCAGTAAGATCATAAAAAAATTGGAGGAAGCACCAAGCTCCATGGCTCATTACAGTTAAGACTCAAAAGAATTGTGCTATAAGGGATGCATTGTGCTTGTGCCAAATTCTACTTGCATAAAGATCATCCTTCAAAAGATGCATTCCACACCTACGGTTGGGCACTCCGAGTTCCTTAGAACCTATAAGAGAATTAAGCAAAATTTTTATTGGGTAGGGATGAAAAATATTATTACTAAATTTGTAGCACAATGTGATGTATGTCAACGACATAATGGCAAGATAGTGGCAAGTCCTGGAAAGTTGCAACCTCTACCCATCCCGAACTCAATATGGACTGATATATCAATAGACTTCATCAAAGGGCTTCCCTCATCATAAGGAAAAGCTACAATTCTTGTCGTGGTTGATCACCTTACAAAGTATGCTCACTTTTGCGCTGTTCGTAATCCCTACACTGCTTCTAGTATTGCTCGAATCTTTATGGAGAATATTGTAAAATTGCATGGGATGCCGAGATCTATTGTAAGTGATTGTGATAGGGTCTTCATGAGCAGATTTTGGACAGAGTTATTCCAGATGCAGGGCACTAAATTGAAAATGAGTATGGCGTATCACCCACAAACCGACAGCCAGACTGAAGTGGTGAACATGTGCTTGGAGACATACCTCAGATACTTCACCAGTGACCGGCCAAATGATCCCAAAATATGTGTTGGGCACCTCTAAAGTAGAACAAGTAGACAGGGAACTACAGGACAGAGACAAAATGCTGAAGTTACTAAAAGATAATCTCACTGCATCTCAAGCAAGGATGAAACAATAATATGATCAACACAAAGGCGAAAGATAATTTTCAGTAGGAGATTGAGTCTTCCTACAGCTCCAGCCATACAAGCAAACATCAATCCAGACCAGAGCATATATGAAGCTTTCACCTCGGTTCTATGGACCCTACCAAATTTTGGAGCACAGAGTGGTAGCATACAGATTGGACTTACCCGTCAGCTCTCGAATCCATCTAGTCTTCCATGTGTCATGTTTAAAGCTCAAGATGGGACAAAACGAGACAGCCCAAAGCCATCTACCAAATATGACTACCCAAGGAGAACTTCAAACCCAACCGAGTGCCATTATTGATCGACGGATCGTGACTCGACGACAACGACCCACTATTGCAATGCTAATACAATGGACGAACCTATCAGCAGAAGATGCCACTTGGGAGAACTATAACGATTTGAAGATCAAATTCCCATAATTCATGGAGCCTCAGCCTTGAGGACAAGGCTGATTTGAAGAGGGCGGGTCTGTTAGGACCAAGGTCTGCAATTTCGTACCGTATCGGAGTTTCGACGTTCACTC